ACAATCAAAATATAAGTTTCCTATATAGATATTCAGTTGTGTGTGGCATTTACAATGTACAAATGAACTTCAAAAAGTTCATAAACAAATGTAATGAAAGTATAAATAATTTTTGTGCCAAAAATGGAAATATGTGCATAGATTCTTCATCATAATATACTTTTCTTTTAAAGAGAGATTTTTGTTATGGGGGGGTGCACTCATGGGAAAGATAGAGAGACAGAAAGGGAGAAATCACCCCCCTAACAAGGGTGGGTGACCACACCACAATCCCTTCTCTTTAATTCTCCTCTTGGGATCTTGGGTACACACACAGATGCACCAGGCATGAATTTTAAGCTACCAGGTCCAGGACTTGAACTGCAGTCGACTATGTGGGAGCCCAGCAACATAACCATTATGCCATCTGCTGGTCCCCATAATATACATTTTCTATGAGTTTTTTGGAAACCCTGTTATAAATGCAGTTCTTGCTGTCAGTACTACTTCCCAGGTTTTGTAGGGGAAAAAAAAAATCTCTGAATCCTGTGTGTTTGGGGCTGATGATTTGGTTATGTCCTGCAATTTGCCAATTTCCACTGCTTAAGTTGGGGCTAACACTGTCCCTTTTCAGGCTGGGCTTCTTCTCCAAAGTGTACTGTCTCTCAGAGCCTGATGGTTGAACAGAGTCCTCATATAACCTCTCTGTTTACTGTGGCCCAATTTCTAATCCATTAGGCATACTGCTTCATGCCCCATTTTCATCATAATCTTTCAAAACTCTGTTTCTTTGCCTTTAAACCTTATGCTTTGCATCGCACCGTTAACTAGGACAAAGTCAACTCACTTTGTCTCAGATGTCAGACCATAGTTTTTACTTCCACTTGCGGCACTCTACTAATCTGCCCTGGCTCACTTTCCCATGGTATACTGACTGCCAAGCCATGTGAGAGTCAGCGGACTTCTCAAGGCTGCTGTCCCTCTCCATAGGGCCATGTTTCAAATTTCCCAGTTCTCTGACAGTTCCTATTCATTTGGGCCACATGGCTACAGATTGTGTTTCCTTCTTCACTAAGCCTACATTGCTACTGTGCTCTCTCATTAAATGTGGATAGGTTAACATCCAAGTAGCTCTTTAATCTACCTTATTTTAAAAATAAACAGGCAAATAATAGACTTTGAAAATAGTCATCTTTCGAAGGGAAAATTGACTATACAAAGATATCTAGCATGTTTGGCTTCATAGCAAGTACAGATATATTCCTATAATTCAAATCCTAGGTTTTCATAAAGCTCAATTACAATAGAAATAATCCATAAATGAGAGCTGAAACCACATGCATTCACATTTTGGAACTCTTCAAACTACTATATATCCAATTGTTTTAGCAGTCAGCAACAAACAAAATTACTGTACAGTAAATGAGAAAAAGGAAACTTAAATCCATGTTGGCTATGAAAAATATTTATCATTTTGTTTGGGTTATAATGTCATTATGTTTTCTGATGCTCATAAACCAAGTAATGGATGTTTTAAAGTTTGAAAAGTGTTTTGGGTTATTTTGAAGATCTAGTTTGCTAGTCAATTTGTCACAGAGAAAGAATGTGCATGATCTTCTCATAAAGGGGAGTTATTGTTTCAGAGGATGAGGTCTATAAAAAGCTCTCTCCATGCAAAATTCTCATGTTTTACCACCACATTACTGTTTTTGTTGGGTCATAAAAAGTTAAGGACACTAAAGAAATTTCACTAAATTTTGACAGTGGCTATAAAAGCACATTATTAGAACTCTGGATTTCAGATGATGCTGTAGTGTATCCTACATTCAGCTTTTAATTATTCAAGATTTTTTTTTCTAAAACTGCCTTTTTAAAGGATTTCTCAGTTTGGTTTCTATGTAAGTCATTTTTAGTCTTCTTGAAATTAAAATAATTTTTTAGTATTTGGCTTAATGATAATCTTCTCAAATCTTTCCTAAGCATTATCGATCCCCATTTCCATGTAATGTGGCAAATTAATGAATTATGCAGTAGGTCATAATAATGTCACTGACTCCTATAAACACTGTGTACTTGCCTTTTTTTTTTTTTTGAGAGATTTTTACTATAGGGCACGTGCGCTCGCCAGACAGACAGAGAGAGACATTAGAGACAGAAAGCGAGAAATCACCCCCCAGGGGGGATGGTCACGCCGCAATCCCTTCTCCTTCATTCTCCTCTCGGGATCTTGGGTACGCACGCACACGCGCCCGGTGTGAGTTTTAAGCCACCGGGTCCGGGACGCGAACCGCGGTCGACTACGTGGGAGTCCAGCGACATAGCCATTACGCTAACTGCTGGTTCCCTGTGTACTTGCCTTTTGATACAAAAAGTATTCTATAAGTTTTATATACTTTTAGCAACACACAAATATTCCTTGGCAGTCCCTTCCCCTACCTGAGGACCATCCCATTTCTCTAATAGGATTATTGCAGAAAGTCATTGTTTCTTGGAAGTATGGGGGGAAAGAGATAAATGGGACTTGGCTTTTGCACTTAGTGGGCTTTCAGACCAGAATGTCTTCTAAAGAAAAGTCTTGGTAGCTCAGTAAGAACTCGCATGAAGAAACGAAAAAGTGGTAGCACTGATATTTACATTTCCGTTGGGTTTTAATGTGGTATGGTTCTTTGAATATCACATGTCTTTGTTCTGTTTTTAACATTTTTCTCTCTATTACTGACTTTGAGAAATTTGATTATGATGACCTTCATATTTTTGTGCTTGGGGTTCCTTAAGTGCTTGGCTCTATGAGTTCACAGTTTTCATTAAATTCAGAAAACGTTAACCATTATTAAATTTGTTGTTGTTTTCTTCCTATTTTCTCTCTTTTCTCATTATGGGACTCCAAGAATACAGATCTCAGGCCAATTTTTTTTTCTTTTTTCTCTGTATTTTATTATGTATAGTTTTCCATTGTGGAATTCAAGTTACTAATTTTTTCTTCTGCCATATTTAATCTGCTGTTCATCTTACTCCACATAGCTTTTGTTTCATATTTTCAACTCTAGAAGTTTTATTTGGGTCTTTTACGTATTTATCCCATTTTTATATAACTCTTTGAACATAGAGTTTAAAGGTTGAAGATTGACTTTAAAAATCTGCTACAGTCCAAGATCAGTGACAGTCCAAAGGCAAGTCATCATTTTAAAATGATTATGATAAAGATTTACATATTTCTCAAGGAAAATGATAATTAGTTAAAAACAAAACAAAAAATACCATCTTTAGATGGCACACTTAATTTGCTATCATCTAGATCTTGGTGCCTGAGGTCAGACTCAGGCCCACACCCAGAGCCACTTTCTCCTGACCTTCTAGTTGGGACTACAAGACAGGTTAGTCGGGTGAGACCTGCACATGTAAGTACCCTTGGTCACATACAGTGAAAACCCATTGACCTGGGACTTGTCCCCATCTTTGCCTTCAGTGCTGTGATGGTCTGTAGGAGGTGGAGCAAGGCAGCCAAGACCTCTATTTAGAGTTAACATAGCTGAGACACAATAAGGAGCTGTAATTTGCCCAGCCTCACCTGGTTGAAAAAGTTCAAGTGTCGGTCTGAATTGTGATTTGAGTTCATGTTTCCTAGAGGGAAGCTTAGCTTAGAGGGAAGTCAGATCAAAGAACTTCTTCAAGAAAATGATTTCCATGATCTCTTTCTTAGTCATGCTGGGCCATGCGCTGGACTTCTGTCCAGTATGTCTCTGATTTAAGGCTTTTCCCTACCAATCTCTGGTTGAAAGCAAGAGACATCTTTGCTTCTAGCCTAGTCCAACCTGAACTCTCGAAGTAGAACATTACAGATACCTTACGGGTGTGTGTGTGTGTGTGTGTGTGTGTGTGAAGACAAGGATGCTTGTTCCTCAGATTCTCAGGAGAAGAACTGGGCCTGCTATGCCTCAGTACCCTCCTTCATGGGAAGAGGTGTCAGCGGCTGGGCCTCAAGAGCTGATAAAGAAGGAAGTGTGGACTGTAGCCATGGAAACAAAGCACAGCAAGGAGAGCTGTGACCAAAGACTAACGTTGGAAGGTTTACTCAAAAGAGGAGGTGTAGGCACACTATAATACCAAGACCAACACGTGGCACTGGGCTTCTGAAAATTTCCTGTAGCATGTGTTCATATTAGCATCATTTGGAAGAAAATGAATGTCAAGGAAATGATTTATGAGTATCTCAAATCCCAGACTTGGATATTAAATGAATGGAAGATGGATGGCAGAAGTCCAAACTTTTTCTCTTGGCGTTCTCTCCACATGCCTTCATTCTTCTACGAGGCTACACTTTCATTTTTTTAAATGCAGTCAGGCAAGTTAGCCTATATAATTATTAGTGATCAAATATAAGAATTCTTTGCTATGGCAAATCCCTTTCTACCCATATGCAGAGTCAAGAGGATTTGCTGTGAAAATCAATCAGAAACATCATGCATTTACATGAACTCAAGGAAAAAGGCCCTTCTAATTACCTTCTCATCACATGTGTGCTTTCATACTTTTGTCAAAGATTAATAACAACATCATTCTTCTCTGTCAGCCCATAAATACAAGGGGTCCTTTTGTTTTGGGGCTGGTACCTGGTAAAACACTTTGAGGGCTCATCTGAACCTTTACACAAGGTGTGTGGGTATTAGCACCTTAGATAGTCAATGATGTCACATTGAAAAACATCAACATGTCACAGTCTCCCCTGAAAACGAAGTAGCACAGCTACACAAATAGATTGGAAAGCACTTCACAGCATCTTCAATGACTATACTCATATCTATTCCTCTGTATTTGTAGTGGTTTTGAAGGATCCCTAAGACCTTGAGAAGAATTTTTAAAATTAATAAATTTCGAAGTCCAACAGTTCAATATCACTGGTTTTCTCTAAAACCCTTAAAATCTTTACTAGAATAGCACTTCTCAGAATTAAACTTATATTGTTTTCTAAGGACTTGCTCATAGTTCCCAGTTTCTGTTTTATTATAATGAACTAGCCATACCTTCCAGCTCCCTGCTGCCAAGTTCTGCAGGGCGCCTGCTGCCCCCTCCAGCGTGTCTGGGTTTGAGCACTCAGAGAGCAGTGTGAGGTAGGGTTTGACTATTGATGGGTGCCACAGCATCTGGATTCCTTTGGGTGGTTCTGCACAGTCTGGAAGAGGTCCTACTCCATCCCACTGGTGGAAGAAAAATGAGAGAGTAAATAGCTTCAATATCATTATGCGTCCTACTATTGCCTTCTGCACACATTACAGACAAAACCACAAGCACAGTGTCATAACCTTTGGTGAGCGCCGATGGCCTAGAGAGTACTGCATCAGCAGTACAGTAACTGCCCAAACCAGGAGAGCCATTCCTGGCCACCATGAGCTTATGATTAAGGGGGGAAGGTGATGAGACGTGTACATAAATGAATGTAGCCAGCAGTAAAAGGGACAAGCTCTCTGAGAACAATTCTAACACACTGCTGTAGGAAGGAAGGAGAAGAACAAGGTTCACTTTGATTGAGCAGGATGGAACAAGGATGAAGATCAAGATAGCATATCTCATAGTTAGCATACAACACGCATTACACAGTAGTTACTATCAATGAACTGCCTTTATTTTTTAAACATAATTGTTAACTGAGATAAGTTCCTATAAAATTTGTAAAACACATTTTCTGTTTGATCTTGGGTACCATCCTTGCAAATATCGAAAACAGCAGAATAGCTGAAAGAGAAAAATTTGCTATGGCTTATTAGACGCATTGACACGAGCCATAGGCAAATCTAGATTCTACAGTAATCCTGAGAGTTACACTTTCTTCAAATTGAATCTAATAAATAACAGGAAAGTGTGTAATTAAAAACATAATTACACTTAATTTTTAAATGATGGCTTATACGCACAAAAGAATACCAGTCAACCATTAAAAATGGTAGCTATAAAGACTGGATAGCAACTTGGACAAGTGGTAACAATAAAAGGTAAATGAATAAAACTAGACACAAAGTAGTATAGGGCTGTGCTTTATCTCACGTTCTCCCTCGCTCATTCAAATTTCTTAATAAACCATAATGAGCACTCAAATGAATGATCATTAAAATTTATTAATAAATTAATAATGATCATTATACTGATAATGATCATTCAAATTTTTAAATAAACTGTCCTGTATTATTTTTCTGCATTTCAAAATTTCTATTATTCTTATATTTTTGAGATTTTTAAAAAACCAAAATAATAATCTGCTCTTCGATTACACAAAGTCTTTGTTTTGGGTGAAAAATAAGGCAATTAATTTAATGAGGGTGGAAATCAAATATACTCTGTTTAGAAAAGAGATATGGGTTTTTTGTTGATGATAACATGTATAGTATACCCAATGGGACTGGTGAGAGATGTATTCATGTTGGAGCATTCACTTTACATGCTAAGTGATGTATGTGATTGAATGTATAAAAGAAATGAAAATTAAATATTAAAAAATGTACCATATTCACTTCTGAGAAAAGCCATAGTGCAACAAAATGATTTCTTTGTAATCTTAGGGTAGGGATATAAAGCTACTTAGCTTATTTGTCTTTATTAAGGATTACTTTTAACAAAACATAGTTGGGGCTGGCCTCATGGCTGAGTGGTTCAGGGAGCTGACTGCATGTCGATAAACACTCTGGGGCAAGTGTGTGTACATGCCCCAAATCCCTACAGGATGGACCATGGAGAAGGGACTGCAGCGTGACCAGGATCCACAGTTGGGTACTTTTTTCTCCTTTCTCTCTGTCTCTCTCTGGCAAGCACATGTGCCCTCTGGTGATGAAAAAACTACACTTACAAAGATATATATAGCCTAAATGACATATATTAACCTTTCTTACAGATATTTTATGTGTATACTTACATGTATGTATGTGTGTATAAATATGAAAACAAAAATATATTTCAGAATGTAAGTTACTTAGTTCTAAAAATTCTACTGAGAAAAAAATAAGGCTTACTTTGTACTAATAGTTCAAGTGTTCATAGAGATACTGTAAAGTTATTTGACTATGAAAAAATCATTCAAAAATTTCATTTTTTATCTTTTTTTTTTGGAGAGGTTTTCGCTATAGGGCGCGTGCACTCGCCAGACAGACAGAGAGAGACATAGAGACAGAAAGCGAGAAATCACCCCACAGGGGGGGTGGTCACGTCGCAATCCCTTGTCCTCCATTCTCCTCTCGGGATCTTGGGCACACATGCACATGTGCCCGGCGTGAGATTTAAGCCACCGGGTCCGAGACACGAACCGCGGTCGACTACGTGGGAGTCCAGCGACATAGCCATTACGCTAACTGCTGGTTCCCTCATTTTTTATCTTTTTTAAGTGAAAATTGAAATCCTCATGTCTTCTTTTCCCAATTATGACACACATTAATTTAAGTCAAAGCTAAAGTTAACAGATAAATAACATCCCATAGATGGATGATGGACATCCCTTTAAAGGTCATTTGTAATGAATGTGTCACTCAATTTCAACTTCGTAATAAAAACACCCTGCGTAGGAAGATTCTTGTTCTTTTAGCTATGGACGAGTCTCAACCATTCAAAGATGACTTTGCATCTGTGAGTAACCTATCAGCCCTGTGGCTTTGGTCTGGATTGCTATTTGAGAGTGGTCTATGCATTGAACAGAAAGCACAGGAAAAGGTAACAGTTACTTTGCAGGTTGTCAACTTTGATGGTCATAATGGCTTATCAATGGAAATGAGTTTGGGGTAGTGAATCTGTGTGTTAGTGTAACAAGAAATAGAAGATCACTGCATTGCTTTTTGTTTATTTCACTGTCTATTTTGTCATCTCCTTAAAATTTTTCAGCTATCATTTTCATATAAAAATATGAACACAAAATTTCCAGCTCAACATGGGTGAGCTTTTCCTCTCATGTAAGCGCTAACATCGCAGTGGGAGGTATACAAAAGTGGTATTTGCATGCTCGTTAAAAAATATGACAGCTGAAGTTTAAAAAGAAGAAAGAGCAGCTGTGTTATCTTTTGCTGGGTTTCATTCATTCTCCTTTTCTAATTTCTGCACAACAAAGAAGAATAAATGGTTAAATCAGTAGACAATTTTCTTCTGCCTAGACATGTCATCTATGTAGGTGTTAAATACCTTTTATTACAATTCTTTCTTAATGGCTACAGAGAGAATCTGAAGGAAATAAAAGGACAACTGATGTGAACACAGATAATCTTTGATGGCAGCTAGAAATGGAGTTCAAAGGGGATTCTTTGCTATTTCAGAACGTTGAAGGCACCCTGGCATGCTAATATGGAAGAAAAAGAGGCTATTCAAAGCCAGCGATGGGTCTGACCTTTATCTGGGTACTTGATTCAAACTTTTATTAAGTTAATAGGTGGAAAGTATCAGTTGCCCATTAAAATACATTTTTATCACTTATGAAATGACTGTATGTAATCTCTAAGAGCTGTGTTAATACACTAAGCAATATTTTGTCTAGCTGATCAACATCAATAAGACACTTGGGTGATGGTGAGGTTAGGATCAGACTGACAGTAGTGAAACATGCAGACTTTTAATGCTAACCTTCTTCTGGAGGGAGGATTCATGAGAAATCATGGGCTATGCAACTCTTACCAAAATGAATTAGAGTACATTTTCTAAATTTAAATACAAGAGGCCTCAATCTCAAAATTTATTTTTTTAAAGCTTATTTATTTTATTCATGAGATGGGAGGAAGGGTACTCTCGACAGAATCTCCTCAAGCCATGAACCCTCACTCCCAGTCCTCCAGCTTGTCAGGATCTTGCGTGTGTGTGTGTACAAAGAGTGTTTTCAGGTCACTGTAGGAATCTGAGTCTCCAGTTGGCCATGTGACTTCAACACTTAAACTCAGTATACTACCACCTACATTACCTCCTGTGCCTCCACGATCGGGCCTCCCCCAAACTCTGTACAGGATGGGTACATTACCTGAAGGCAATATTTAGCACAGTGAAATGCTGACCATGTAGTTATTTAGTCTTTAGAAGACAAACACTAAATGTATAAACCTTAGCCAGACTGTGTTTATTTTGGACTCTATCTTTAGGACTTACTACCAAAACCTAAAATCATTTAATAGTTTAATATATGAAAATAACTTATAAAAAAGCAAAATGTCATCAAGTCAGGAAAGAAAACTTTTTTTCTATGTAACAAAGGAAGAGCATAACCAGGGAGAAAAAGTGTTTGCAAGAAACCAACAGAGGCACTGTCAGTAATGTATTTTCTGATGACAATATCTGCATTACTATGACACACACATGCATATCCACCCGTTCACTATATCTTCATTCCTCAGGTCATAGTTAAAAACCAGAATAGATAACAGGGAAGCAAAAGAAAGAGGAAAGAGTAATATGTGATTTAAATGAGTTTTACATTGGGCTTTATCTTGTTCCAGTTTGGAGAAATTCTTCTGTAAAAAGCCTTTCCTTCTCATAGTTTTACTGCTCATGTGTGAGAGTTAGAGAAGGGTTCTGCAATTTTGCACAAGATTTTCATTTTTATCTATTATATTTTATTATTATTTTTAAATAATAATAAACGGAGAGCCAGAGAGAGAGATAGTGAGAGAGAAAGTGATTTCTCAAGGGGGATGACCATGCCCCAATCCCTTCTCCTCCATTGTTGTCCTGGATTTTGGGCATGCATGCACACGTACCCAGCATGACAGTCAGGCTGCCAAGTCCAGGACTTAAACAGCCACTGGCCAAGTGGAAATCCAGTGTCTTAACCACCACACCACCTGCTCGCCCCCATCTATTACATTTTTAAAACCTCCAAAAGTTCTAGCAGTTCTTAAATCTTAAAGGTATTACCTAAAGGTTCAAATTACATTCTGTGTGAGTCATTTACATGTTGTCGAACAGGAGAAAATACTTGAGAACATATTCCTAGCCTTAAAGCATCTCTTACTCGTTGTCTTGTTCATGGGACTTTACAATTTTACCCATATATTAGAGGGATTGAGTAGGTTATAACCAGGGCTTCTGAGATTCTTTTAATGGCTACAAGAATCACTAAGATAAGAAAAAGGGCCCTCTAGCTGCACCATGACCTTTTGCCCTGAGGCTCTGGTCCAGACAGACTGGCAGTAACGCAGTGAGTGTACACGAGAGACTATGTTGTTGATTTTTGTCTCCCCAAGTA